CTTAATTGACTTAGCTCTTGTCTTAGAACGTTTTTAACTTCCCTGAGTTGATTTCGGAAACATTAAAGGTGAAACGCCATGGTAAAAAGATAAACTTTGCATACCAGTGAAAGACTATTTCGTGGAAACTTGAAAACGTCCACGTATCATATTCGTCTTCCTATCCGGCGATACGAAGCAGCTCCCTTTGTTAGGGAACTACTGGGCTCTACTTTCCACATATGGAAATCGTATTTATGCAACTGAAAGCACATGCCTTGAAACTAAAATGGCTACCTGTTTCAACGATCTGAAAGATCGAAAGATGAAGAAACCTTTGAAAGACGAACGATAAAACATTTCCAGAAGGAAAGGTATTGTTCAGAGGTAAATTTAGTCATGAATTAGGAGAGATGAAAGAAAATATCCTCACAATAGTGAAAACGATGACTGCCTACCTTTAAAGTCGGCTGTGAACCATAAACAATAAGACGCTTTGGGAGCGTAGACTTCGGCGTCGTAGTGGTGGATTAATTGTGAATGTGGAGGAATATTAAGAAATGATATTTTTCCAGATACCCTTTCATGCCAATACCCTTACTTTTCTCATTTTGGGTAAAAGACGTCTTAACGTCTTCACCGGAAGTCTGCTAGGTGTCTGGCTGTAAACCAATTCGATTATAATTTCTGTCATAGCGGAGCTCTCACGCGCGAAGCGCGCGCACGGAGCACCACGGGTAAAAAAAACGTGGTAAACTACCCATCCGAGAAAATTTGGTAATCACGTGACCGTACACTGACCGCCCGAACGCCCGCCCGTCCGTCCGCACCACAGGCATACCAATGTAAAATAATTCAATCAACAGGTATGGCAACCCAAATGCAACTCAAGGTTTTATTTGAAAAAAAATCGCATGGCCGCCCGGACTTTTAGAAAGAAAAAACAACAACAAAGTCGTGTCTTTTTCGACGTTGTTTTTGATGTTTACACTCACGTGGATAACAGAGAAAGAGCTAGAGCGAGTGATTGAAGACAAAAGAGACGAATTTTGTAGGAAGAAAAACATGGAAATTCAAAGCGGCTGTGAGACAATGAGAAATGCTACCGGCCAGCAAAGTCAAAATGAGCGGCAGTGAAAAATAAAAGCGAACATGAACACAGGAGACAAAATATTGGGTAAGCACATACGACAATTCCTCCATAAAAATAATGTGTAACTAGGATGTTTGAAATTTTAGTCCTATAAAACAGCGTTGTCGTTGTGCAAAACAACGGCAAAGAAAGACAAAAAGCGTGCTGCATGTGCAAATTTGTTTTTTTTTTTGCTAATAAGAAAAAAAGCGTGCTGCACGTGCAATTTGTTTTTTTGCTAATTAGATCTTGATGCCATTTTCATTGCCCTCCCCGTTTAGCATTACACGATTTAATTTTTTTTTGTTTACAAGTATTATTAACCAGAGCTTCGCTTTTAGCTCTGGCTAAATCTATATATTAAATAATTGCGCACGGCGAGATCTCAGTTCCACTTCCTTTATTTCCTCTATAACAACACTTTCCTTATGAACAGTTAGCCCTACACCTTCTCCAGCAACGCAACTATAAAATAACATCAGTATATCCCTTACAAAACTTGTTGACACCGAGGATAATTCATGTACAACATTGCAACATAAACTAGAAATATGTATCTCGCAATAACCTTAGCGAACTTCGGCTTTTTACTTATTTTATTATTTGGTTATTTTTGAATGCCCCACACAACTAAAACCTCAAATATGGTATTGGACATAGGAAGATATTTTATGGCAAATGTTATCTTGGTGTGGTCTGACAGTCTTCTACGTATAAAAATGTCAAAGTTATAAAGCTTTTTAAAAAAAATGCCTCAAAGGATTCTGGGAGATTTTGTAATGATAATTATAATCTACATTTATAATTTTTATTATCTTTTAGATTTAAAATAACCTTTGAAATTATTTTTGCCAATTTCTTTACGAGCCTGAATAACCTGAACAATCCATGTGACGTTGCACCAAGTAAAGATGATCTGTCTTGATTGACGTATATTTATTGTAGAACTAAGTGTTTAGCCTTTGAATGGGGCCTTTGTTATTATTTTTCAATGTTTTTTTATGAATTATGTTGTCACATGCTACGCAGATATCTACGTTACATAGAATTAAAGGGACAAAAGGATATCAAATAGTTTGTTGCAGAAAGCTATAGGTATGGGTATTGATACTGCCTATATTATGCATTATTGATATGGCATAACCCTATAAAAATTTAGTGTACCTTCTTTCAAGTTCGTCACGTTCCTTCTGCAGCTTGTTCGCTCTTTCTTCCTCTTTCCACAACCTAAAAAAAAAATAGCCGCTAATAGCCAGTGTAGCAAGCATTCAGGACTGCGCAAGACCAAATACATGGTGAGGGCAGCATTAAAAAGGAAACGTCTGAAGCAAAGCGCCTTTATTAGACAGGTGTTCTTTAAGTCAAAATATTGTACATTTGGCGCTTTTTCACTTTTTTTAAGGATTTAGTTTAGTTTGGTATTATTATTATCTTTAATGTAAAACCACAAAACAACATTATAGGCGACCTCATTCCCTGGGCCTCGGGTTAGAATGAGATAGAACTGTATTTGATCAGAGAAAGTGCCTTTCTTAGGATGTGAAATGTTTCAATTAAAGTGCTCTTCTGAAAGTTCATGATTTTGACGTTACCCGGTATGCGTCGTATACATTTTTCCAACCCTTTCTTAATTAGTCCCAGAGCTCATTATCATTATCATTATCATTATCATTATCATTATCATTATCATTATCATTATCATTATCATTATCATTATCATTATCATTATCATTATCATTATCATTATCATTATCTAAGATATACTAGTGTAACTGCGATTGATTTTCTCTCTCAACATCCGAATCCAAACCATGGACTTTGGGAGGCGAAGAGGGTTTCTACTTGATAGAGAGGACCCGCCTGAGAAGGTGGGCTGTAGAAAGGAGAGTTATTTTCTGGAGTTCATGTATGTTAATGTTGCCAGGAAGTTTGTTGGAGTAGTTTTCCATGTCCTTTTTGATGGTGCCAAGGGCTTTCATAACCACTGGGACTGTTGTTATTTTGAACCCCCAAATTCACTCAACCTCGATTTCCAAGTCTTTGTACGTATTTGGTAAGCTTTTCCAAGGTCTTGACAGAGGTGTTCGTGTCGAGGGGTATAGTCATGTCAATGAGAAGGCAAGTTTTATCCTTCTTGCTCCTTAACACAATGTCCGACCTATTAGCTGCTATGGTCCTGTCAGTGTGAATGGGCATGTCCCACAGAATAGTGACGCTGTCATTCTCGGTGACAGTCTTGGGTTCATGCTCATAGCATCGTTCCTTCACCTCAATGCCAAACTCTTTGCAGATCTTCCAGTGCATGTGTGCAGCTGCCTTGTTGTGGCGGTGGGTGTATTCAGTTTTAGCAACTTCAGGGCAGCCAGAGACCAGGTGGTCAATGGTCTCGTCGAAACGGCCACACAGTCTACATTTTAGGTTTACGTCAGGCTTCTTGAGATGTTGTGTCGGTACAAGCGTGTAGGGAGGCGTTGATCTTAGGCTGCCATGATAAATCCCTCGGTTTCTGCCTTGAGGCCAGCTGCTTTTAGCCATCTGTGGGTCTTGTCTTGGTCCACGTTGGCCTCTTTCACCCGTTGTGAGTATTTGCCGTGGAGCGCTTTTAATTTCCAATTGGACGTGAGCTATTAGCAACCCTGGTGTTTGGCCTTGCCCTTTGTTCTGCGGGCAAAGGTGGTGTTCGCCTCATCCTCTGCAGGTGGTATTATTATTATCTCGCAGTACAAAACTTTCGGATGCTGTCCACATAATGAGTAGTATAGGGCGCATAACGTAACCTACACTAGTTTAGGTACGAAACCTAATATGATCCTAATACATATATGTTATTCACTGGCTGGGAGGTCCGTATTGGGATAAACTGTGCCCGAGGTCTTGAGTACCGCCCAAGGCTGTAGGCCGAGGACGGTACACAGACCTAGGGCACAGTTTCTCCCAGTACGGACCGACCTAGGCCGGTGAATAACATTTCTATTTTTTTCCTACTCAGATTTAAAAGTTTAAGGAAAATTTTACTTCAACCTCCACCTATGTGTGTTGAAAAAGGGAGCGTTCGTGTTGATGTTATTCAAAGCGCGCGATCGATTGCAAACCAAACCAAAACATTACAACATGATTTTTAACTTGTAATTTATATTATCACAATTAAGCTCTGTTTAGAATAAAGAGAGGTTTTTGTGTCTTGATAGACAATTCATAATATGAGTGTCAAACAAGGATAAAACAATTGACGAACTTAAGAGCCACAGCAAAGAAAATACAGGAAAGATTTTCTTCGGCTGAATATTTACTTTCAGATTAATTCAATTGAGCGCGATAAAAAGTGCACGAAGGCTTTATAAAAAGATCAACGCTCTCAGCTACCTTCCCACATAACCTGCATAGGACTTCGCCGTCGGTGGAGGTTTGCGTCTTCTCCTTTGTGTAGAGCTTCGTAGGTAACAACTGCTCATACAGTTCAATACATGCCCGCGATGGTATATGTAGGGCATGAAGCCCAACCTTTTAACCATGCAAAGCAGCTGGTTATGATTAGGCTCTCATCTTCCCATCTGACACGGAATAACTTTCCTTGCCACTTTTTGTCTTTAGCGATCTCCAAGAACTGCTCTTGAGATTGCTTCAAAAGATTCCCAGCTCTTGCTGCAGTCACCACCTTTCCTTCTGTTTATTATTATTATCATTATTATTATTATTATTATTATTATTATTATTATTATTATTAAGTGATAGCGGTAAAAGTAAATTAGAATTAGAATTATTTTACACTATATAAAGCTTCGAGTTTAAACCTTAAAATAATTTGATCAAAAAGGGTTAGCTTTTTCGTCTTTCGTCGGTGCTGCATAGTTATACTACGAAGTCACGGTTCGAGGTTGTCCGCTTAGGCACTAAAAGCCCAAGCTTCTAGCGGGGTATAGTGAGAAGTGATTCCATTTGCTTTTATTGAAGAAATGGACGGATGAAAAATGATCGCTCTTTTTGATATCGACAAATCATGTCCAGTGATATACAAAACACGTCAAAGAGAAAGTAAAATCAACTATTACAGCTGATTCTTAAGTCGCGGCACAAGCCGATTGATAAAATGGATTTATAAAGAGAGATACCAATTGCTCTTACTGGAAAGAAAACAACAACTTAATAACAGCCCGCAAACCACTAAGCTGAAACTTACGTCATGTTAGACCCCTTTCAAACGTGGAATTTGTTATGAGTGCCGAACACCTATTTTAGTCGATAAAGGTAATTAAATACGGCAGTTGATTCAGACGTCGGATATGATGGTGCCGAATTAAACTCCGTTTGTTATAAATATTCCCAGTCTCTAGGATTCTTTTTTTTTTTAATCCAATATGGATAAGGGTTTCTGTAATTAATGCACTATATTCGGCACATGTGAAATGCGAAATGCGAAATGTGAAATGCGACTTTTAAATCAAATGTTGAAATTTTCGACTGTTTCAGTTGCAGATTCGACAAAGTCGTATTTAATTTGAAACTGTCGAATTTAGTTGATTCAGACGTCTCATCTTAGAGCAGCTACCTCTCGAATTAAATTAGGCAGAAGTGAAAATCGACGATTAAGCTGGGTAATGATAACAGTGTCCAGTATTATTGAACTATACCGGTGGATACGCTCTGATCAAGAGAGGATGAAGGGGACGGAGAAGGCATCCCCCAAACACACCCTATTCCATAGGTTATTCGTCTCGAGTTATTTTTAGAATCGGGATAAAATTACCTCGCGCGCTGCGTGGATGTTTCGTGGAAGTTTCGCATGACTAAACGCCGTGCAAAACATGTCGGGCGAAAGGCAATGAAAGCGTAAAGAGATCGAGAGCATTCCCGAATATTGACGTGAAATGAGTCGGCGCTCACCTGGGAAAAGGGAGTCGCTAAACTTTTGACAACCCGTGAAATCAGTTTAACTCTAAGTTGTCGTAACCTCAGTGCTATAATAAAATAAGAAATTTCGCCGGTCTATTGAAACCGGTCGTTTGTACAATAAAGCAAGTAGGACGCCTCGTCTGAAGCAAAGCGCCTTTATTAGACAGGTGTTCTTTAAGTCAAAATATTGTACATTTGGCGCTTTTTCACTTTTTTTAAGGATTTAGTTTAGTTTGGTATTATTATTATCTTTAATGTAAAACCACAATACAACATTATAGGCGACCTCATTCCCTGGGCCTCGGGTTAGAATGAAATAGAACTGTATTTGATCAGAGAAAGTGCCTTTCTTAGGATGTGAAATGTTTCAATTAAAGTGCTCTTCTGAAAGTTCATGATTTTGACGTTACCCGGTATGCGTCGTATACATTTTTCCAACCCTTTCTCAATTAGTCCCAGAGCTCATTATCATTATCATTATCATTATCATTATCTAAGATATACTAGTGTAATTGCGATTGATTTTCTCTCTCAACATCCGAATCCAAACCATGGACTTTGGGAGGCGAAGAGGATTTCTACTTGATAGAGAGGACCCGCCTGAGAAGGTGGGCTGTAGAAAGGAGAGTTATTTTCTGGAGTTCATGTATGTTAATGTTGCCAGGAAGTTTGTTGGAGTAGTTTTCCATGTCCTTTTTGATGGTGCCAAGGGCTTTCATAACCACTGGGACTGTTGTTATTTTGAGCCCCCACATTCACTCAACCTCGATTTCCAAGTCTTTGTACATATTTGGTAAGCTTTTCCAAGGTCTTGACAGAGGTGTTCGTGTCGAGGGGTATAGTCATGTCAATGAGAAGGCAAGTTTTATCCTTCTTGCTCCTTAACACAATGTCCGACCTATTAGCTGCTATGGTCCTGTCAGTGTGAATGGGCATGTCCCACAGAATAGTGACGCTGTCATTCTCGGTGACAGTCTTGGGTTCATGCTCATAGCATCGTTCCTTCACCTCAATGCCAAACTCTTTGCAGATCTTCCAGTGCATGTGTGCAGCTGCCTTGTTGTGGCGGTGGGTGTATTCAGTTTTAGCAACTTCAGGGCAGCCAGAGACCAGGTGGTCAATGGTCTCGTCGAAACGGCCACACAGTCTACATTTTAGGTTTACGTCAGGCTTCTTGAGATGTTGTGTCGGTACAAGCGTGTAGGGAGGCGTTGATCTTAGGCTGCCATGATAAATCCCTCGGTTTCTGCCTTGAGGCCAGCTGCTTTTAGCCATCTGTGGGTCTTGTCTTGGTCCACGTTGGCCTCTTTCACCCGTTGTGAGTATTTGCCGTGGAGCGCTTTTAATTTCCAATTGGACGTGAGCTATTAGCAACCCTGGTGTTTGGCCTTGCCCTTTGTTCTGCGGGCAAAGGTGGTGTTCGCCTCATCCTCTGCAGGTGGTATTATTATTATCTCGCAGTACAAAACTTTCGGATGCTGTCCACATAATGAGTAGTATAGGGCGCATAACGTAACCTACACTAGTTTAGGTACGAAACCTAATATAATCCTAATACATATATGTTATTCACTGGCTGGGAGGTCCGTATTGGGATAAACTGTGCCCGAGGTCTTGAGTACCGCCCGAGGCTGTAGGCCGAGGACGGTACACAGACCAAGGGCACAGTTTCTCCCAGCACGGACCGACCTAGGCCGGTGAATAACATTTCTATTTTTTTCCTAGTCAGATTTAAAAGTTTAAGGAAAATTTTACTTCAACCTCCACCTATGTGTGTTGAAAAAGGGAGCGTTCGTGTTGATGTTATTCAAAGCGCGCGATCGATTGCAAACCAAACCAAAACATTACAACATGATTTTTAACTTGTAATTTATATTATCACAATTAAGCTCTTTTTTTGGAATAAAGAGAGGTTTTTGTGTCTTGATAGACAATTCATAATATGAGTGTCAAACAAGGATAAAACAATTGACGAACTTAAGAGCCACAGCAAAGAAAATACAGGAAAGATTTTCTTCGGCTGAATATTTACTTTCAGATTAATTCAATTGAGCGCGATAAAAAGTGCACGAAGGCTTTATAAAAAGAGCAACGCTCTCAGCTACCTTCCCACATAACCTGCATAGGACTTCGCCGTCGGTGGAGGTTTGCGTCTTCTCCTTTGTGTAGAGCTTCGTAGGTAACAACTGCTCATACAGTTCAATACATGCCCGCGATGGTATATGTAGGGCATGAAGCCCAACCTTTTAACCATGCAAAGCAGCTGGTTATGATTAGGCTCTCATCTTCCCATCTGACACGGAATAACTTTCCTTGCCACTTTTTGTCTTTAGCGATCTCCAAGAACTGCTCTTGAGATTGCTTCAAAAGATTCCCAGCTCTTGCTGCAGTCACCACCTTTCCTTCTGTTTATTATTATTATCATTATTATTATTATTATTATTATTATTATTATTATTATTATTAAGTGATAGCGGTAAAAGTAAATTAGAATTAGAATTATT